CTAAAGTTAAAGTTTCACAGAAACCAGAGGCTTTGTAGAAGAACTTTCATCCTCAGGTCATCCTGTCGTTTGTCCAAAGACAAAATTTTCATTTCCAGTCTCTCTTCTTTTATATCAATTCCATTGTATGCACCGTCCCCATGATTTCTCATAACGAACCAATTTTAGATTAGAATCACTGTAACTCATTTAAAAATTCCTCCAGAATGAAGAATGCCATTAACAGAGGGTCTTCCCCACACAGGAAAGTGGAATCTTTTTAACAGACTCCAAAATGCCAAGGAGCTGTATGCTTCTGGCACCACACGTCTTAGCAAAACATAGGGAGCTGTTGTAAGTGCAAAACAAGACACTCTGATATTTGACAGGGCTCCTTCCAAAATAAAGCATACTTATAATAACGTCTAAAGACCATATTATAAGGTCTAAATACCTGATCCATAAACAGATGCAGCTTATAAATTGTACATGTACATCATCATCTTATTCACTATTAAAATAAGCAGTACTACCTACAAAATAAAGTGCTAGCCAGTGCCTTAAAGTTAGTTTGGTTTTGGGTTGTTTTTTTTTTTTTTTTTAATACAACAAGAAATCCACCCGCAAATAAGCAGAATTCTGTTAAGCGTACATGCTGGATGGCTCGCTAAATCCAGAGCACTGTCAAGAGATCTGTGGCAACACAACCTCGGCACAGTCTGACTTTCAGCCAAGTCCGCCTCCCAGCTTTTGTACATTGTGTTAAACATTTAGTGATAAGGTATTGCATAACATAATTCCCCATTTTATTTAACCGTAAGTACTTTAACATTTGAGATAGACACCTCCTGCCATTGCAAAATTATTGTAAAAAAAAGCTCGACTAACGATACTTTAGAAATTGGATTTACATCAAGGCCTATTCAGCTCTTATCCAGCCAAACTCTCAGGGAGAGCAGATGATCATAATTTCTTAGTCTTCAATCATGCTATGACACTTTAGATGTTTTGAGGATCGTGTGATGAACGTGAAGGTTAAGAAAAGCAGAGGGGTTTGTGCTGAAATCCCACACTGGGATATTTCTGATCTAGAATTTCATCTCTCCCCATTACAGGGAAAGGAAGTTTGATCCAGCTCTATCCAGCTCTTGACTATGATGCCAGATTTTCTCCTTAAACCATCGTTACACAAACAAAAGGCAGAAGAGACAGCAGCTATTGTGCTCAGTGATGATTACTGTTTAAGGCTGACCTGGCAGATCAGAGAAACAATGCAAACCACATGGACAGCTTCATGCCTTTGTCTTTAAAAAAGAAAAAAACCACACTGGTATCAGGATAACACGTCAGCAAGAGGGGAAAAAACACTTTTCCTACAATAGGAGTTGTAGAAAACATGGACAAACTAGCAGGTGAAAGGAACTTCTGGCACTGAAAACTTTTATTGGGGTTCCAATTCCAGAGTATGCTGCTCTGGTACTTCAGAGGATGGCTGCTGTCTCCACAACTTTGTGCACTAATCCCATGCTATCAGATCTTTCCAAGTTGTGTCTCTTCACTTCAATATAAACTTTATTTGTTGTTAGCTAACAGCAGGTACCCCTTCTTCAGTATTTATAATGCACACTTCATTACCGCACCTGAATGCAACAGGGCAATGCTTCACATCATAGCAGTTGCACCAATTGGCAGTAATACAATGCACATCTATCACAGAAGATTGAACTTCACAGTGCTATGCTCCTTTCACACCTATTTCTTTCTAATATTTCATATTCACAAAAATCCACAAACAAATGGTTTTGTTGCTAAATTTTGGCAAGAAAGTCTCGATTTAGGATTCTCTGGTGTTTTCCTCACAAGGTAGTTAAGAAACCAGAAAAAAAACCCAACAACCAACCAACCCACAGCCTATCTCCAAAATAATTGCTACATAATAATTTCTGACAAGAAATAAACAGGCTATATATATATGCATATATGTATATAAAAAAAGAAATAAACAGCATATATATATATATATACACACACACACACATATAAACATAACTGATCCAGGACATACATACACACGTCCTGGATCCATTTCTGGCTCCAGACTGACTTTCTGCAATACTATGCCTCAGTTTCCTCTTTCGCCTCCTGCAAAGGCTTTTAATTATTATTTCTACAGCACCCAGCCCTCATGTCAGCCAAGGTGCCTCTGCGGAGCTGGCTCTGGAAGCCACCACGGCCGCAGGCTACGCGGGCTCCTGCCAGGGCGGCCAGCGCAGCAAGTCATCCCACCGGGCGGGCGGGATGCCCCGGCCACACCTTTTGCCAGCCTCAGGCGGGGGCTGGCTGATGGAGCTGGTATTATCAGTTGTGCTGCAGCACACTTAATGCATTTTTAAACGCTTATTTCTGATTACTCAACCTAAACCCCAAGACCTATTACTATTAAAAGACTAACATAAAGCTACTTGCAGGGCTCTCAAATCTTTTTTTTTTTTCCTTATTTCTCACAATTATTTTTTCCAACTTTAACTAAAGCATTGATGGCTCAATTACTATCACTCTTTTTAAACAGAAGCATAGCTGATCAACTGCCTCCAAATGGTATTTAAGTTGCTTTTGACCTCCAGCTTACACAGAAAAAGCTTAGTTGTGTCGTAAGAAGGATACGATCCCCCAACTAACGTGACAATAACGCAGGCTGCAGTGGGAAAACAGCTTGATAGCTTTATGATTCATTTATTATTCAAATTTAATGATTAATTAAATCCTTACCAATACCCTCACTTTAAAGAAGAAAACTTACTCTGCTTCGTAATTATCACCCCTTGAACCATCTCTTCACTAGATCAACTTTATGAAAAGGACACGTTGCAGAAACTTTCTTCTAGAAATTCAAACTCTAGTAACATATAGTATAAACTATTCCATCTTTAACAAAGTATCTGGAATCTAAAAGAACAGTCCAAGACTATAAGATTCTTGACTTATAATTAAAAAAAGAAATACTGAAAAAGACTTTACTCAAATTAGCAAATTTAATTCACGTATGATATCGATCAAGCCCACTCAAACGTACCCCAAGTTATTGGAGATTATGGTTACTCTTTTTTTCTCAACAAAAAGCAGACAGATAATAAAAGTATATCAAAGCCCTTTTATAAAACCTTTCACAATTAAAAATCATGTTTACATTCCTAATGCCACTGCACAGAAGGGCTTTTTTCCCCGCCTCATACAACTAAAACCCTTTCTCAGCAATAGATGTGTATCAGTCAGGGTAGTAGTTCACAAAGAAACATCACAGGACCAATTTAATCCATAGACAGCAGGAAAAAAATTCAAAAAGTGTATGTTAACTTATCGTTATCTCCATATATATTTAAAATACTCATGTACAACTCTGGATACATTAAAAAAACCAAAACAAAAACACCACCCCAAAACCCACCTATGTTTAGATAGCCAGTTTTTATTAAGGAAAGGCACTAATTTAGGGGGAGACTCCTACCAACTTCAGTAAAGCTAGGGTTCACCTAGGAAGTTTAATGGCCACTGTTTATAGCTCCAAGACAACGGAGTTTTTAATCAGATACCTGTGAAGTTCTTAAATATGGGGGAAAAAAACTCTTTTCTCATGAGTATGCATTTGAGAAAATCAAATAAACCTGAAAGACAACAATTTTGTTGTACAACTTAGGTATAGTTCCTGATTTCAATAGAAGTTGCATGAAAGAGGTAACAGTACCTATTATTACTGGCCCATTAAAAATCACAATTTGTTGGTCAAGTATCATTTTTCACCTTTTGAAAAGTTCTGAAAAAAACAAGCAGCATTCAGAAACACATTAACTTCTCAAAGAAAGTTTTGCATCAAAGCTCTGCTTTTAAACTTTTATTTTTTAAACAACAACAAAAAAAAAATCCTCCACTTAGGAAAGTTAAGTTGTCACCATCTTACATTTCAGAATACAAAACTGAAAAAAATCCCTGTTAAAAAAAAGACAGGACTTCAGCCAAGTATTCAGCTACTTATTGCTGTAGTTGTAACTCAAGTCCATTTAAACCCCTATGGTTTGGTCGTTTGTAGCGAGAACATGTTTGGAACACTAGCAGCAATAGAAAACCCCTTTAAAACCTAGACATAGTTACGCTGTTGAGAGAAAATTAGCAGAAACCATAACCACTGAAACATAATACATAGTTGTAAAAGTACAATTGAATTGGTAGCTAGAAAAAAAGGGTTGATTTAAAGTGCTATCCCAAAGCCTTATGTGGGCCTGTGTCAGTAAAGAAAAGTCCTTTTTTCCCCACTAGCTAAAGCCCAGAACCACAGCACTACTCCAAACATAATGAATGCAGTCTTCATGCTGTCTCAATGCCTCACCTCCCCCGCCCTCCTCCAGCAGGTGGAATACAGAAACTTGAAATAATTGCTAATTCCAAATTTAGGTGATATGCACAAATATACTGTTGAGCAAAGTCTGGACAGCAAACAGTACACCTGAGTTCAGTCATACAAACTAACTTTTGTAAATAGCGTTAGACGAATATATCCGTGTCTCTAATATGAATCTAGATGTATTTTCTTACAAAACGCATTAATAGAAATATCCAGGCAAATACATACCATACAATAGCAAAAGCTTTAAGCCCCATTTAATAAGATGACTTTCCGATTAAAAATAGAAGGCAATTAAGATTTACTCAAAATTACAATTAAGAAAAGCTTTCACAGTGCCATATTGAAACTGTCACAAAGTTAAGAAAATACTGATATCAAAGTACAATCACAATGTTAAAGTAGACAAAACTACTATACCAGGGCATATCTTGTAAAATTAAAAGGAATGAACACAACATAGGGGACATCTCACGTCCCTGCTCTACATATCTCGTCTCCTAGTCTTCAGAGTCATAATTGTGTCTTTCTGACATCGGTAGAAGTCTTGTTAAAACTAAGAGGTTCATTCTTCTTTGCAGACCAGATTTCAGAGCTCGATTACTTCTTGGAAATATGTTCTTCATCACTGCACAATTTCAAAGTAGTGCAATATTGCCATGATGTGCTGAGGCATGAACACATAGCCCGTGTACAGTGCCATTCCAACAATGGAAACTAGCATGGAATCTGAATTACAGTTGAGGAAAAAAGCATTTGAAATAGTAAGTGCATTAGACATCACATAACTATAGCATTAAAACTTTTCTGGTAATTATCTTGTAACATTACATTTTTAAATCAGACGGGGTCAACTGCATTCAACAATCACAGCTGCAGGAAAAAACGACTGAACACTGAAAACTGGTAGGAGCGATTTATAGCTGAATTATGGGAGGATGCCCTGCAAAGTTATCCACTGCCTTGTCATGGACACAAGAGGACATGCCAAAGTGTGGGAACGGTGATGGAGAAACAGAAAACAGGCACTGAGAATATACAAGTTTTTACATGCATCTTCCTAGGCGTTAAGCAAGTCTTGCAGAAGCCAGCCCCATTCAGCCAAGCAGAAAAAAGTCAACCGTCACAAAAAACCAAACCAAAACAAAAACACGATATGAGTAGCTGTACTGAATAAGAGTTCTTATTTGTGGATGAACTACTCATTTTTAAGCAGACAGCATTAGATGCTGACCTCAACTTCTTGGAATAGTATGACCTAATAGATTTCATTTATGATGCACAAAATACACCTGGTGTGAAAGTTGTACTGTTAGCATAATAAAGTCAGGAAACCTCAAATCCATTTCTAGCTGCTGGTGTCCTCTATGCTTTAAGTCACTACATTATTTGGTCCATTTCTCCATCTGCATGTCATGCTCAGACCCTTCCTCATAGGCAAGCAGCTCAATTTATGTGTCGTTTGACAGCACTTCAGAAATAGAAACTGCAGGAGGAATGAAAAGCATGAGTAACATCGTGACACGCACCTTTCTAACACTATTTCACTCACAAAGCCTCAGAGCATCAGCATGGCCTGGAGTCAACTTGCGTATTTAAACAAATAGATACTTATTATTCGTGTCCTCCATCACGGCCTCCCTGCACTTCAACGGGGCCCTGAATGTCGACCTGACGGAGTTCCAGACTAGTACTTTACTATAGTAGACAACACTGCAAAACAAACTTCACATGAAGCTATCTGCTAAACAATCTTAAGACGGCCACTTTTTTAGATGAACTCCTAACAGGGACCTTTTGTAAAACTCGTATAGAAAAGTGAGATGACAGCTTATAATGCATACGTACAACTGGACCTTTGTCAAGCTCTAGGGTTCACAAAGCTTCATCTACAGAAATTATGGCATCAGCTTACTGAAAGATTATGCCATTCAAAGTTTAAAGTTTCAGAAATTCAAAAGAACTACTCTAAATTAATAATAACCTGTTGATTTCATCCAACTACCTGCAGAGATTCAGTAAACTTAGACAGAAACACTATAAAAAGCACTGGAGATTAACAAGCATGATAACACTGGACTCAGTTTCCACAGGTGAAACCAGAGGAGCTGCACATGCTCTGAGTCTTCGAGAAATCAAGTCACCGCAGCACACGTGTAACAATGCTCTGTGACCGACTTCCCCGTGGCAGAGCAGAAGTATTAGCTGCGCTTATTAGAGCATACTAGCTTCTTGGTGTATTTTTAGTCCCAGAAGATTATACAGTATGAGATACTAAAATGAAGGTCAACTCATAAATCCACATTTCCGTACCAGCGCTCACTTCTGATTCTGGAGCACAAGCAGCAGCGAGACACAGCAGAGCCACACGCCGTTAGCTCCCAAGGCCGCTGTGTCCGTGCCGCAGCACCCGGCAGACCTGGCCCACCTACGGCAAAAGCGTCCAGTTTGAGGACAAAAACCAGTTTTGCTGACCCAAGACTGCAAGCGATACTTGTGCCACTTATGACGTTTGTAAGTTCAGTGGCAATTACTTCACTCCAATATAAGTATTTTATAAAAGTAAACACATACACACACTTTGATTTACTTAAATATTTTGCACAAGTTACAAAGCTGCATGGTTAACACAAGCAAAAGCGTCCAGTTTGAGGACAAAAAACAGTTTTGCTGACCCAAGACTGCAAGCGATACTTGTGCCACTTATGACGTTTGTAAGTTCAGTGGCAATTACTTCACTCCAATATAAGTATTTTATAAAAGTAAACACATACACACACTTTGATTTACTTAAATATTTTGCACAAGTTACAAAGCTGCATGGTTAACACAAAAGGAAAAAAAATACTCATGACTAATATAATTGCAACGAAAGCAAAGATGAAGTTTCCTCAGGATACAGACACGGCATAGAAAGAGGAAGGTATGTTAGCAGGGAACATAGTATTTTGAAAATAAGAACCCCTACCTAAACAACTGCGCACAGTAAATCTATAAATACTAGAAAAGAGAAATAGTAAGTCATCTCCACTTTGACTGACTTTACACAGGAAAAAAAAATGTCTAATTGCACAGCTGTAACTCGGACAACCACTTTTATATAACAAAATGAGTTCCTTCACAAAACCGACCAGTATGTCAGTAAAAGCAGGTTCTCACTACTACTTACACCCTTCTCTTTGTTAACGTTTTGGTTATTTCTCTCCTTGCCTCTCACCATTAATTCGAGATGGCTCAGGGTCATCCATATGAGACATCATTTTAAGTCAAGATCAAAACAGCCACACTTAAGAGAAAAATATTTGTGATGCCAAAACAACACTTGAGAGAATATACTGCCTGTATGAAAGCGCTTGGTAAAGAAGCAAATCTATAAATAGTCTTCATACAGATGCCTTCACATTAGCATCTACCAAGCTCTTCCACTCCAAAAGAGCCAAGCAAACTTACCAGCTCGAGGATTAAATACTCATCTAATAAAAATCATGTGACAAAGCACCATGCAAACGTAAGCTTGCAAGGTTTTGCAGCGTGCACATTTACTTTCCACTAGGCAAAAATACAGAAGAATCCATGAAAGGCACCTGTCCTTAACACAAACCTTGAGATTTCAGTGCAAAAGACAGGAGAAAGAACTACCATAACTCTACAGAAGAAAAACTGAAGGGAGAAACAACTTCGAGATACAAACTGACGCCGAGGAGCAGCGGAGGCGATCGCTGGACGCCCAGGGACAGGATGCGGAACGCCCGCAGGAGGATCGTTCCCCACCTCGGGCAGCACATTAGTTCGA